AAAGGTCTGCAAACAAGAGGGGGCTCATTTGGCCTGTTCTGCCTCTTTGTTAGTTAAGTGTCTAAGTGAATATAAAATGTTATCCAGATGTTTGTTAAAGGCTCCCAGAGTTTGGGTCTCAACCAAGTGGCTGGGAAATCTGTTCCTGAAACCCACTACTGTTTGGGTAAAGAAGTGTTTTCTTTTCTCCATCATAAGTGAATTCACTGTAAACATCAAGGCCAGCTGTGTTTAATACAAATCATTGTAGAGAGAAAATTGGCCTTAAAGGGGTTCAGATTTTGGGCTTTAACTGAAGTACAGTATATACTGATTAATAACTCAATTTTCCCTTGGACTTACAAGAAAAGATAGCTGTAACAAGTGCATTATTCATATTTATTTTAATCTTACTTGTGGATGATTCATGTGTGAATTAAAGTTGTTATTTTCATCATTGCGAACATGTCATGTCATTTGCCAAACCGCTTTATAACATATAGTGTCACGGGAAGCCGGAGCATACCGGCAAGCAACAAACGCAAAGCAGGGTGCACTTTGGACGGGGCGCCAGTCCATTGCAGGGCAAGTACAATCCAATCATACATAGGGACAATTTGGAGGCCATGGTAAAGGCCATGGGGGGAAATTTGGCCCAGACACTGGGATAACTCCCTACTTCAATCGAGAAGTGCCAGGGGATCTTTAATGACCATGGAGAGTCAGGACCTCGGTTTAACATCTCATCTGAAAAATGGTCATTGCAAACAGTGACTTTAAAATTACATTTCAAATGTGTCTTACTGGAGACACATTATGTTACAGTATATCGAAAACTCCAACTAGTAAAAATTTGCTAAAAGACATCCAACAAAAGTGAGTTTGCTACTGTAAATATCCAACATTTCACTATCCAACAATAGTATGCATAAAATCACTGACTTACAGAGTAGAAACCTGTCCCCATCTCTGGATTGAGAAACACAGGAACAACTCACTTGGTCTCCTCTAGCTCCTCTGTCTTCTGGATAGCATCAGTCTCATACTTGGTCCTCCAGGTCGTGACCTCAGAGTTCAGTTT